TTCTTTAAATCAGCTGAGACATTTTTGTTCAAACATTTCCCAAATTTTGGCTTGAGGTGGACATCCAGCCTGAAAAAGTTCAGCCCCCAAAACAGAAATTTGATGAAGTTACACACAGCTGAAAACAGGATATTAGGTAGCATTAGGTAACATGTTGCTCTTAACCCATGTTGCTCTCAACCTTTGTTCAAGTGAAAGCCAAATATTGTCATGACCTCATCATACTTACTATTAACTATTTACATTTATTATTAAAAACTGCATCAGAAACAACAGCAACAATGCTATATAATCTATTTGTGCATATGTTTCCAGAGGTTGACAGAACATACCTGACCATAAAGAATAATGGTGGAAGGGTATTAGATTTTCTTTGTGCTGGACTGTTTAATTCATTTTAATTACCTGTGGCCCCCTTAAGTGTGTTTCATGACTCCCCAGCCCCCACTCAGGAGTCTCAACATACCAGCCGAAAAATATTGGTTCATAATACTGTAAAGTACCTGTGCCCAATGCAGACTAGACAAAAAAAATCAAGAGGAACTGCAGCTACTTGAAGAACATAGGCACAGGAAACAAATCTACTACTGCTTTGGAAAAGAGTTTTTAAATGCAGAAGAAATGATGAACTGCAGAAGACATTCCCCTAGCCTGATAAAGCAGCAATTCTCTGATGAGGAGAGAAGCAGATGGAGATAAAGGAACTTGTTTTTTTCCTTTGAAAAGCATCCAATAAGGAGAGGAGAGTGTTCCTATGAAAATATCATCTGAAAGCAGTATATCCACAGAAGGTAAAGGAGATAGCTTGGAAGAGCAGGAGATAGGTAAGAGCTCTATTTTGCAAAAGAATAGACTACTGAGGCAAAAATTCAATTAGACAAAAGAAAGGTTGTGTTCTTTCTGCTGTGATTAGTAAAGCATTTTTCAGTGCTTAATAAAACTGATTAAAGCTCTCTGTCTCAGAAATATTTGCAAATATTTTTACCTGTGTTCCAATAGTCTCCTGGAAGCAGCGCCCAAGCTGAGTTTTAGCAGAAGCAGGAAACACGTGAGGAATGGGTTGCTGACTCGAGTAAGAAATATGTCCTTTCTGGGTCTTCTGGTATGGAAGACCTTGATAAGGGACCTGGGGATGTCCCGGCTGGGATACTTTTACTTTCTGTCCTGTTGATGTGCTATCAATCCTTGACACTTGATGGATCTGTACTGAGGCTTCAGGGGGATGTTTCACATGGATATTTACTATGTTAGGAGGGAACTTCACTAAAATCATTGGAGAGAAAACACAGAAGAAAAATGAGTAATAAAAGATGACAAGCAGAATTTCCAGGTATTCTTCTAGACTCTTTTAGTATAAACAATTAATCTAAAATTGGTGTATACCTTCTTAAAAATATGCACAAAACCCAGATTTAGAAATAAGTTGGAATGTATGAAACCTGGTTTAAAAAGTAAGTCAGCCATTTAGAAAGAAAAGTAAGACACTATAGGAAAATAATGCAAGACAACTACATAAAATAGGTGTCCAAGCTGGGTGGTATGACATTAATTTTTGTGGTTGTACTTTGTAAAAAGTATCCCATTCAAAGTTCCAGAATCCAAGCTCTACTGGGTTATTTTTGGATATCTAGTCAGCTTTATTTTGTTTTTCAAATCCATCATTTGTCTTTGGAACATGGGAAAAGCTTCAGATTTCATTCTTTCACCTTTATGTATCTGCCAGTGCTGAGATTGCCCCTAGTCCATGGCCAACCTCTCAACCACCGAAAAAACCCACCCCCTCTCCTGAATTCAGGACTTGGCAGATAAGGAGGAAGGAAATGCTTTCAAATACTTTGTTTTTAAATACAGTTGTAGTTTTAAGTTTTGGAATACAGGTTTGGAACTTCTGTTCACTTGTTTTAGTGTAAATAAGACCTGTTTGTGAATCTCAATTCCTTTGAAACATTCCAAACATTCAGTTCAACTCAGATGAAAAATAACTTAAATTTTGCAAACTACCATAATTCATCACCTTTTCAGCATATGTTAAATATACCTTGCTTTAACACATTCCTAATCCATCCAAACAAGTGGATATAACATTCTTTCCAAATCATCTTCTGGAGAACAAAACCACACATAGACAGCTTGGTACAGTTTGTGTGCGGAACAAAACCATGCACAAACTATGAAGCAGGGGCCAGCATCCTTTTTCAAGCCATAGCCTGCAACAACCCATCTCTAGTCTGGTGTGGGCCAGGTAGCTTCAGCAGTGCATCAGTGCAGTGCATGGGTGCAGTTTCTAGATCTTAGCTCAGTGCAAACTCCTCGCTACTCAGCCCCAGTACAGGCAGAGGCAGAGGCAAAAGCAAAGCCCTGTAGCTCCCTGGGCAAGACCCAATGGCTCTGTGGACCAAAACAGGCCTGCAGGCTGTATGTTGCTGACCCTTGCTGTAAAGGATGCTAGCTAGCTGACCCTGCACAGCTGTCTTCCCACCTCTAGCAAACAGAACCATTCTTTCTGATAATTATCTTAGATCATTTCAATTTTTCTGTGCAGAATTCTACCCTCACACTCTAATTTCTATTGCTTACTCTGCTTGTTTTTATCATAAAATTATATTTGTTCTTCCGCATCATTTTCTTTGAAACACAAAATGATAGCCGGACTACAAGTTTCAGTGTATCTGGTCTCTTTTGGGAATGTCTTAAAAGAAGCAGAGTTTTAGTTTCAATTTGGCCTGCCTCCTTTTTAAGTCTGAAAGTCCACAACTTAGGCTTCAAGACGGGCAGAGACCCTTTGAATGAGTTGGTGGGAAATTAGCTTGTATGACTTAATGGCTTTTCCTGGTTCTTCACTCCTTACTTGGTACCAGAAAAGCATCGTTCCTCAGAACGTGTGAGTTCTGTTGTAGGCAGGAGCCACAGGGAAAAGTTTCAATGTTGGCAGAAGAAAACTGTAAGGCCCCCTGAAGGAAATCTGTTTTGTTCACAGCTATTTCATATTATATAAAGACAACAAAACTGACTCACTTCCATGAATACATTGCATGGAGAGGTCTCTCTTCAGCTATTGTTGTGGATTCCTTCTGACTGATGCAGAAGGGAAGTGTACCAGTTCACAGTAGAAAGCTGCTAACTTAGATGCCCTACTGACTTCTGTAAGTTCGTCTTGGGATATTCAGTCAGTTCAAGACAGTGTTGAATTAAGAAGAAAGTGGTTCCTTCCTTATTGTCTGTCCAGAAGTACTTCTCTTTCTGCAAGTCTTGGATTCCTTTTAGCTGTCCAGTTAAATTTTAGCCTTTTTTCAGTCCTTTAAGAATGAACTATTTCACTCTCTTATTCAGAAAAAAGTATTCCTCTCCATCACCAAGGGCACATCCTGATGAGCATGCATGTGCAGGGTGAGTGTTTCCCGTGCGACAAATAGCAGAGGTACATATTTGTGCCACTGATAATTGTACCAGGGCACGCGCCTGCATACATGTTTCGGAAAATTGAATCAAGTGGGGTAGGAGAGGCTGTGGCCAGCACCTGTGCTGGCCACAGCAGCCTTACCTAGAGTTCTGGCACCAAGCCAGTCACTCAGAGCCTGGCTGACAGCTAGAACATAGATTTGGCTGGCCAGGCTCAATTTGTGAAGGTGCACACTGCTGCCTTGTGCGCCAAGATGCTTCTTTTAGTGGCATTTTTTTTTTTTGACCCTGGGAGATCCAAATTAGCAGCACAGTGAGTGGGTACATGTGCTCTGCGTGCAGTTTGCAGCACCTCAAGTGTTTTCATTTGGACATAGGAATACCAAGCAAAAGCAACGGATCTGTTAATGACACTGGTGTAGTTATCTTCTGAAGGAATAGGGGAATTCTTCAGAGGTCAGATACCGCAGTGTGAAATCTGTTGTACTTTTAAAGTGGATAACCCAAAACCTGAAAGATGACTATGTATTTAAAAAAGGGGGAGAGGGGTGTATTCTTTTTACTACTCCACCATTTTCTCTAGGTACCTTAACCTGGAATGGAATACTCACAGAAATACATATCAGCACAAATAAATACTTAAGTATCTCTACCCTCTTTTTCAAAAGAAAAGTTGAAGACAATTATTGTAGACCCAAGACAGGGCTTAACATTTTACTTCAGCTATATATTACTTTCCCCATGGGTTCGATAGCAGCCCTCAAGTTTCAATGTATTGAAAAAATGGAGCTGGTTGCTGTACAGAGCCTTTTAATTCTAATGATTTCAAAATAGATGGGCCCCTCTTTTTTCTACATACGTATAGCCAGTTCCAAAAACAAAATTATTAAGTTAGGCTATATATGCCATAAAGATGTTTACTATGGATTCATTTTACCAAAGGGATTCAGAAACTAATTGTGAACCACCAATTCCAACAGAAAATTATTAAACAAAGATTTTAACAAAGAAGGTTGAATTGCCAGACTGGTAATTAAAACAAACACATAAATAAACAAACAATATGTGCTGAATTACTGAATTGTAGAACTGAATTATGGGACTTTCTCAACAAAAGGAGAGATGACCCTGGATAGAATGCTAAGAATATTCTTGCAAGCATAAAGGTAACAGATACTTTTTTTGAAAGTGCTCTTTTTTGAGATTTTTTTTTTAACCAAATAATATCAAGTATCTTCAACATATTACTTGTAGCTGGCAGACTAAAACTCTGATCTCTCTCAGTCTGGGCAAAATTGCTAATTCCCAGTTTAATCATGTTTTTGATACTTTGGTTTCTTCACTGCAATTACAAAGTGATAAGAAGTAGTTATGCCTCTTATCTGTGATCTTATCAATCTTACTGGAAAATATGTTCTAGTTAATTGAAACTATTTCATTTGTGAAGTGATATTTATTATCTATATCATGACAGCCATAAGTAAAAGGATCACCATAAAAATTAACTAATTGTACAGCAGTCCATTTAGAGTCCTGGATAAGATGTAAGGATAAAATGATTTTCAGTTATACACTCTCTCTCTGTTCTAGGGTAGTAGAAAATTAATCAGCTGCCACTTCCTATTTGCCCTGTGACCATCACATGTATACCTCAGGTCATAATCTAGTACAATGCCATCTATGCTGCTCCTTATATAAGATGGTTATGCACCTAAGATGGGAGAAGTCTGTTACACAAAAGGATATGACATCTTTTCTGATTCTGTGTTCCAGACTAGATTCCACCATGAATTAAAGGAAAATTACCTTATCAAAATCATTTCAATAACACTGTGTTTCTTATTATTGTAGCTACCTAAGGAAAATAACTTCTAGTCATTCTGGTGGGCTCTGGATTCAAGATGTGGTACTTAGATTCAAACTGTGTAGACAGATGTCATTTTTATTACTAGTCTTTCAGCCAAAATTAGACAATAGAACTATATACCAATGGGAATATATCTGTGACAGAAAAATGTTACCTTTTACTCCTTGCTGGCCGGACATAGTCAGTGGTAAAGTATGCGTCGAATGGATGATATGAGATCCTATGGCTTTATTTGCCTGCTGTGGATGATGGTAAAGTTTTGCACCATTGGCACTTTGCACTGGGATCTGACAGAGTTTACCAGTATAATTAGGAGGGCACTGGCATTTATCTCGAGAGCTGCACTGGCCTCCATTCATGCACGGAAGGTGACAAATAACTGAAATGAAGAGAAAAAAAATACAGAGATTGTGTTAATTTCTCTTCAGCTGCAATTCTTTTTTTGGCATTATTTGATGATATAACATGTTGCTGCTGATATCACTGAGGGAAATGGTCTTCACATCTTTTGGCACGCATGAAAGGGCCACCTAGGCAGGGCCGTCCCTGCGGGGTGGCAAATCAGGGTGACCGCTCTGGGCCCCACGCTTTGGGGGGGCCCGGGGAGCTGGGCAGAGTGGCCGTGGCGACTCTGCACCGCCACCACTGGCGGCAGCTTCTTTGGATCAGGGCGTGTGGGATCGGAGTGGGGGCGGTGCCCCGCATGGGCTGATTTGCCCCGGGCCCCACACCCTGCTCGAGTCGGCTTTGCACCTAGGTGAGGCAGGTTTTTGCTTGTTTAGTCTGCTTACAGATGTGAAAAAAAGCTCAAATAACTCTTTACTTTAAGTCTGGCGTGCCCCCAAACCAAACACAGCACACGCGCAGAAGAGACATTGCATTAGCTGGACCTGGTTCGCCCAACATCTATATAGATCGCACTTCAGCTAGGCTTTTTGGTGCTTTTATCTAATAGTTGATTGGATCAGCTTAGGTAAAAGCACCAAAAAAGCACCGCTGAAGCGTGTGATCTATACAGATGCTGTGGAGCTGGGTCAAACTAACATGCTTCCTCTTCCAGTAAAGTGCTGTCATTTGTTTTTATTTCATATCTGCCAACAGCCTAAGTGGCAGGGCTACTCACCCTGTTTGTGAACTCTGCATGGTTGCATGCGTTTCTCTCCTCATACCAGGCAGACATAGTATACACATTTCTTTCCTAGGAGTCTATTGTACTACATTTCACCATAAGACAAAAATAATTCTGTGTACTACAGCATCTTCTCTCACTGTGGGGTATCACTTCCTGCACAACCTAGCTCTCCTCAAAAATCAAAGTTCTGTGTACTCTCTCTGGAGAGGGAGGATAATGCTAGGGGGAAATACCCAGTTTTTCTTGGGAACCTGGTCTGCTTTTCAGTATAGTCAATTTTTTTTTCCTGACATGAAAAAGTTTTATAACCCTGTGTAATGATGATTGAAATACTAACAGCTATATCAGTAATTTCTGAAGCAAAAATTTCCAGTTACAAAAATGCATGCAAAGAGCTACTTATTGATGATTATTCTGTGCCAGTTTGTAGTTTTGTGGCTCTATAATTTACCCAAGGAAACAAAGAAAATATTGATGCAAAGCGTAATCTTGAATCCAGAATCCAGGAAAGTGAATATTTACCAATCAGCAGTCTCTGCTGGGGGGACTGGGGTGGTGCAGGTGCTAGGGTTTACAGTTGACAGTCTCAAGGTCAAGGCCATAGCGAAAGCACTCATGGCGTGGCCTGTCAGATTCCAATGAATCTGTGACTTCTGCTAAATACCTTGTCACAAGGACTTTAAAAAGGAAAGGAAGTGGTCTCTGCTTTGTTTTTCCCCTGAGGTTCATTACTTAGTCTAAAAATATGATGCATTACTTTAAATTCTACTGGAATCTACTTAGTTAACATTTCAGAAATTAAAGCAATTAGAAAATAAAGGATGAACTTGCTCCTGACAGGGTAATGTCATTTTTACATAATTATAAAGTCTGTCGAGGGAAGACAGAGTATTTAGTTGTAAGCCTTAATACAAGATTCTGGCTTTAAACCACCCAAACTTTCCAGACATGGTATTTGTTAGATTTATATTACTTGATTATATTAAACTATAGTGTCTTTTATGCTCTGAAAGCTACAGAAAGTGTCAGGTTATATGTATACCTTGTGCTAACTATCTGTTGTGGTATAGTCTCTTGTCAACCACTGCACATTGCTATCTTACTGCTACTATAAAAGGTCAGTATTAGAAAAAGAATGTACATCTTGCCTGCTGTAAGAAGACAAAGTAGGAGGTTTCGCAGTCTGAGGAGTTCCAAATGAACTGCGTAATGTACTTGGATCTTACAAAGCATTGGAGAAATAAGCAATCAGATTGGCTCTCAGCAGAATATTATCACATTATATTGACAGGATTTGGAACATGTTTGCCTTATCACCAGATAGGTATTACTATGTCTGCATACAAATGTAAACGATTGAAATGTTTTTCCACTCTATTCAACAAATACACATTTCATAATTTTTGTCTGTTTAGCTCATATTTTCATTCTATATGAACTGACTATAAATGTTCCACAAACGGCAACATTGTGAATAAGCCTAAAAAAAAAATATTGACCATTTTAACCGAAGTCTTGCTGTTTGTGCTGGCAGGCTCTTGTTGAGGCTTAGCTGGGATATATGCATTTGGTTTAAATAAAGACTTTTCTCTTTAAGGTCTCCAGCAATCCTATAAACATCAGCTTCTCAATACGACAGCATGGCACCCAATGACCTTCAGGTACATGTAAAGATCTGCCTGTATTGCTCCCTCTGGATGATTGAAGCCTATGATAAAAATGCTTTATTTTGTGCAGAAGTAAGGACTGTTTAGAAAAGAGGTTCCAACAACAATGTAGTGCAATGTGGATGATGCAACAGTTTAAGATCACAAGGGTGTGGAACAAAAATTCTATAGTTTTCCGTGAGGCTATATTCATAGAAAGGCATTTTTAGGTGGGAACCGGCTTTCTCATTGAGCTGTCCATAAACTGAAAGAAACCTGTCATTCCTATAAGTTCTTTCTCCTTTTAGGTAGTGAAATAATGGACCATATTCAGCTCTTCACTAAACCACTATAAATCTACAGCAGTGGCTCACAACCTTTTTAGATTCAAGGCACCTGTTAGACTCAAGGCATAAAGTCAGATTGGTTTTGACACTGGATTCCTGTACAACACTTGTGTTCCACTGACTTGAGTGTAGCTGCATTGATTTATGTTTGGTGAGGTTTTAGCTTGTTTCATGAAAATATATTTTGAATTATTCATCATTAGTATCTGAACATGAAATACAAATCTGTAATAGATATGCTTCCACAGTCAAGTAAAAGTAAATAAATACCATGTGACTTCTAGGTTCAATTAAAACAGCTTAAATCTCAAACAACATAGACTTTTGAGAGGAATACTGTTTGTGAATAATCCAATTGGAAGCAATTTGAAGACTGAGATATGATTAAATAAAACCATGGCTGAATAATTGTGAATAAGACGCACACTTGCAGATATTGTGATGTATTGTTAAGGAACTTGTAAAAAGACCAAGGGCTTTTACATGCTGCACAAATCTACTGCTATAATTTCTGCAGGTCTGAAATTTCAGGATTATCATTTGGAGAGTTAAGTGGACAGGGGACAACAAAAAAGGAAACTACTGCTCTGGCCTTTTATTTTACCAATCAATCACAGGTTAAAGAAGTGGAAAGGGCTCCAAAGTGCAGACCCTTTCAAATGGGAACCAGATCTCAAAGCCAGTGTTACTTTAGACAGCTCAAATTCAGGTGAAACAGTTGTTTGTTTTTATTTTCCATAAACCATTGAGTTTATGGAATGTAAAACAAACATAACTGTTGAATACTGCCAACAGATGCAGGGGATATTATGGACAGAGCCCAACCAACAGACATGGGCAGGACATTAAAACATTGAAATTTATGCATAAACATCAGTGATTTGTATCTTGATGCAGGGTCCCTGAAACTACAACTTTTTTGTCTGTAGACTGATTGCCCCATTTTATCTGAAGTGAGTGGCAAGAACTCTTTATTTTAATAATGGCACCAGCTAATCATTTACAGTTCTCTAATATTAATGTGGAGATATTACTATATGTCAAAAACAATTAAAGCCTGTTCCTGAATATGTAACAAAAAGGGAAAAAAAAGAAGAAATGAATAAAATATGTTAACGGTAGCAACCATTGATCCTCCTCGACCATGGTGTATGTATGAGGGCCACCCTTTAATGCAGATACCTGGGCAGGAATATTTTGGGTTTGTTTTTTTTTGGAGTGGAGGCTGCTCAAACCTTCCATCTCCTGTTAGGCCACTGAGACAAAAATCCAAAGACCAGACTGAGTCCTGATGTTTGATGCCTCCATGGCTGTAGTTGTATAAGTGTCTGAAAATCAAACCCAGATCTCCTGTGTGGTAGACAAGGATTCTACCACTAAACCACAGGGGACTCCTGAATAAAATTAATTATGTCAATAAAATCAGTCAAGTCAAATGCCAGGCCCCTCAGGAATTCTTAATGATCATTTTGGTTGCATTGGGATGAAACTTATAAAGATTTTGTTTGATTCATATGTGACTCCCTTTTTACAATGTATTTGTTTTCATTTTGATATAAGGAAAGCAGGGATGGAGCGTGGGGGAGGGGGAGGGATACACTGGTGCACTTGTGTCCACCTTTGATTCCTGCCTGGCACTGGCAGCAGCATTTCTAGACAGGCAACGCTGAGAGTCAGCTTACCTCATGGCTCATTATAATCTACCTGATCTGTTCTAAACTCTTCATTCCACAGGCATTAATGACCCTCTTTTCTTTTTAATTGTCTTGATGCTCCACCAATCAAGCTAAGCTTCATTCTGCCAGGAGAATCCAGAGAGGTACACTGGTGCATTTGCACCCCTCCTTTGATTCCAGCCTGGCAGTGGCATAGGGTATACGGAAAGCAAAAGTGGTAATGATGCTGCTCCTGGTCAGGAAGCTCCTTTTTCACAGCCCTGCTTCACAGATTTCATAGACATTAGGGCTGGAAGGGAAGATCATTGAGTCCAGCCCCCAGCCTGAAGGCAGGAAGTCAGCTGGGGTCATAGGATCCCAGCAAGATAAGCATCCAATATTCTCTTGAAGGTGTTCAGAGTAGGTGCTTGAACCACCTCTGGTGGCAGGCTATTTCAGAACTTGGGGGCTCAGACCGTAAAGAAATTCTTCCTTATGTCCAGCCTGAAATGGTCTTGCAGTAGTTTATAACCGTTCAACCTCATCATCCCTTGGGGTGCTCTGGTGAACAAACGTTCCCCCAGATACTGGTGGTCACC